TTTTTTATATTACATGAAGAGATTAATTTGAATGCCTTGCAATGCCATTGCAGCAAGTTTGGGGAAGGAATAAGCTATAGAAGGGACTGCTGAACTCATCAGGTGCAGCCAGCCCATAAGCAATGGGATCCTGCTTGTGATGTGGCTGGCTTGTATCCTTTCTCTTGGAGTAGAAAAGGAGCTGGTTTTTTTTCTGGAATGAATAGCTGTGTCAAAGCACTTGGAAAGAGGGTGAGAACTGGCAATCCTGGAGCCTCCAGTGCAGCTCAGTGTCACGACTCAATTAACTGACCTCCCAGTCACTGTTCTACCCTGAGTTGAGTAATTTCTGAATGTAAAATTTTTGGTTTCAGCATTGCTGGCTTTGAATTGCTTTTTAAATTTTAACTCCTGCTGTGGTAGGGATGTTGTGTTTTCCTTGGGTTCCTGAGACTTATGAGTGTTTTCAGTATTCCACATTGTTTTCTTGGCTGTGGTGTCAGTGGAACTTTGCTCAGGAAGAAAACCATATTGGCAGCTAACAGTGTTGTATGATAGCAGCTGTAGTTGCTTTCTGTTTCAGTTAGCACCTCACAGTTCAGGGGAAAAGGATGGGAGTTCAGCCAAAAGGCAGAGCTCTTCCTAAACAGGTTTCTTGGATTTTGTTGCCCCAAAACCCAAGCATTCTGGTGAGTTTGGCTAACTTTGCAAGCCTGTAAATACATCCGAGGGCTTATGTTTAGTTTTATGTTTGCAAACGGGAGTCAGCCCAAGAGCTGAGAATGACAGGTCTGCTTGTTGTGTTCTGGTTTAGAACGTGCGTGCATGAAGATTGCTTGGCTTTGAGCGTCAAGGCTAGTGTGCAATGGTTCATCAAGATGAAAGCTATGCACAGGAATATTTGCTGAGTATGGGATCAAAAACTGCGGGTTTTTTGTGTGAGCAGTTTTGACTGAAGCTTCACGATTGCCTTGTTGTGGGGCTCTTCTGTGGTGCCATTTTTCCATTTCCATGGGAACAGACGTGTTCTTGTTGATAAGAGTTCTGTTATCAAGCTAGGAAATTGGCAGGCAGCAGTTGAACCACTGTTACTGTAAAGCTGGGCTGAATACAGACTGAGGACATCACATGGCAGTATGTGTTCAAATGTAATGGGTAAAAATATCCTTCCTTCTTCCTCTTCCTTGGTGCACATGGAAAGGAAGAGTCACTCTGCTACAGGCTTGACTGGATCTACAGCAGGTATAGGAACTGGCTGCAGAGAACTGCTTTGTTTTGGCCTTCACAAAGAGCAGCAATTTGTAACAGTTAATGAGATAAAAATAGGAGTTTGTGCCTTTTTAGGTTTTTTTTTTTTTTTTTTTACAGACTCTGAAGGTTATTTGATTTGGAATAATCTTTGCTTAATTTTGTTGCTTAATTTATCTGCATTCAGTTATATGTGGGGGAGTTCTTGGAGCAAAATTCAGTGATATATACAATGCTTTATCTACATTTTATAGCTTTGGGGAGTCTAGAAAAATTTTATGATAGTTTAAGGATATTTTTCTTAGAGGTATAGATCTGTTTTTTAAATATATCCAAATGAGAAATTGCAATCCTGATAATTATCTGGAAATCTGGAAGCCAGCTGAAGATTTGGGACAGATGACCTGACTGGATGCTTAAAATATTTTGCAACAAAATGGCTTAATTACTTAAGATCTGTTCTGTCATTTCTGTGGGTTTAAGAATAAAAGAAAAATGAGAGCAATTTTAGATGCAAACATCTAGGCTGGATGTCCCTGTGCAAAGATTTATGTGCTCTTGTCTTACTGCTTAATTGCATTTCTGCAGTGGATGGTAGTGGTGCAACTCTGGAAGCTGAAATTTTGACTCTTGTAGCTGTCATAGCAATAGTAAAAAATTGGTAGCAGCCATCACAATTGCTGCCTCCTGTCTGCACAGTTGTCATGGCTTTAAGGTACTGCAGTGCAAGTCACCTCTGCTCAAGTGTTGGGAGCAGTCCAAGGGATGCTTATTTTTAAATGCTGTCAGAACAAATGATTTTTGTAGATATCTGTGTTCTGGAGGTTACTTCTCTAAATGAGATTTGAACATAGACCTTTCTAGAGAAATATAGTAAGTTCTATATGGCTAAAATTACTAAGCAACGGGCAACCAGTTATGGAGATACGTCGGTCTTAAGTGAAGCAGCAAGAAGTCCTTTGAGCAAAGCAAACTCCAAGTGGAGGGGAGCTGTAGAGGATTTATCACTGTAGTGAAAGCCTCCTGAAAAGGTGGTGTGGGGATATGTGTAGGCAGTTTGTCTTACTATGCCTTTCATCCTGCTGTTCTTTTGTTTTATCACAGAACGTGTAACATACCAGTGAGGGAGCACTGCAGAGGCATTTGTTTGGAGGGCAAGCATTAATGAGTACCACAAGCCTGATGTGATTTGGCTCCTCCAAATCTATTAGTGTATCTTAAGAGCCAGATAAAACTCAAATTCTTTAGAATTTTGGTATCTTTGATACCTGCTGCTAAAAGCACAGATATGTGGTAATATCCTGCATATGCATCTGCAGGGTATTTTTAAAGAGCTGACTGCCATATCCCTTTACTGCACTGTAATAATGGTAATGGAATGGGATTGTGATATGCAATCTTAAAATGAGTTTGGTCTGTGCTGTCTTTGATAAACATTGCATAAGAAAGAACATCAAAATATGTTGTATTTGTGTTATTTTGTACAATGACTACAATGATGGCTCCTAGGACATATAATTCCAAACTTCTGATCATACAAGCTATGTGCCAAAATCTTTGTATCACAGAATGGCTTGGGTTGGAAAGGACCTCAAGGATCATCCAGTTCCAAACCCCCTGCCAGAGGCGGGGTTGCCAGCTGCTGGATCAAGCAGTAGATCAGGTTGCCTAGGCCCCATCCAGCCCGGCCTTGAGCACCTCCAGGGATGGGGCACCCACAATATCTCTGGGCAACCTTTTCCAGCACCTCACCACCTTCTCAGTGAAAAACTTTCTCCTCTAAATCTCCCCTCCTTTATTTGAAAACCATTTCCACTTGCCCTATTGCTACACATGTGAAAAGTTGATATCACTCCTGTTTATAATCTCCCTTTAGATATTGGAAGGCCATAAAGATGTCTTTCTGCACCCTTCTCTTCTCCAGACTGAACAAGCCCAGCTCGCTCAGCCTGTCTTCACAGGAGAGGTGCTCCAGCGCTCTGATCATACTCATGGCTCTCCACTGGACCCTTTCTAAAAGCTCCACATCTTTCCTGTGTTGGGGGTCCCAGATCTGGACCCAGTACTCCAGATGGTGCCTCACAGGGGCAGAGAGTAAGGGGGACGATCACCTCCCTTGTCCTGGCCACTGCTTTTCTGATGCAGCCCTGTTTGTATGACCAAGCTGAGGATCAGGGCTTCAATCTCCATTTCCTCAGCCTCTATACAGTTCACTTTTTTTTACGTATCTGTTTTACAGTTCCATGTTCCCTGCTTAGTATCGCAGAGTTACCTATTGCTGTCATCTACATGCACTTTGTATTCTGGAATTGCATTGGTTTCTGCACAAAAATCTGCCTTGCAGTTGAGATGCACAGTAATTTCTTGCTGATAGACAAGTTAGCAGACATCAGCTGATATGTATTAGTTCTCCTCGTGCAAGCCTTTACCTCAGAGTCTGTAACATAGCCATCCTTGAACTACTTGTGACCTGTGGTCAAATTATCCTTGCTAAATGACTGAGTTGTAATGCTTATAAATAAATGGGAACTTGAAGTAGTAACTGCACAAAAGATGGTTTAAGTATATATATATAAAAAAAAACCTGGAGTCTCCTTTTCAACTGAAAATTCTGAACTGGATCATAAAGATGCATATCTTTTCCTCATCTGAAGTTGTCTGGATGTGACACAGCTGTGCTCCTTATCTCATGCACTTGCTGGCACTTGGGGGCGTGCATCCTGCGTGGCTGAGAGTTGAGAAAGTCAGATGAATTCAAGTTCTGTTCTCTTTTTGCTTGACTGAGTTTAATTTCAGTAGCTGATCAGTTTGTTGGTTTTTGTAGATCAGGCAATCAGTATTGAAGCAGGTTTGTGTATTAGTATCATGTTCTTGTTCAGATTTCTTTAAAAAAAAAAAAAAGCAGAAATTGATATGGAGTTTAACTTTCTGAAACACTTGCATCAGCTATAAGCATTTTAAGGCAAATTTTGTCTACTTTTCCTTTTTCCCTTGTGTTATCCTCCCAAGGAAGAGGGGAAAAAAAAAAAAATCCTTATGTGAAGGTGTTTTTGGTGCCTGTCTTCACTGTATCTGTGTACTCTGTGATCTCTGGAGCTGCATTCATGTTGGCTTTCTCTACATTTCCTCATCTCCCCATGTTCAAGCAATGCTAATCATATGATGCTTTTTTGACTTCAAGCTAGAAGTATTTTTTTTAAACTCGGATCTAGTTTTTTGTTGGTTCATGTTAGAAAGAAAAAAGATGACATCAAAAAGCTGAGGAGGAATGAAAATGCTGGGTGAAAAAAATATTGTGGTGTTCAATTTTGAAAGGGTGTAGGGAAGTGAGCAGAATCTACGTGTTTGTTTCCAAACCCAAATCAAATTCTTCTGGGCAGAGGTAATTTCAACTGTGGCGTGTTTTTTCTTAGAATCTAATGTTCCTTTATTTAAGAGGCTATTTTCAGTCTGCGTGCCTGCCTTGTCTGTTGCACTGTACCACTTGACAGAAGAGTAAAGCAACAAAACTTCTAGAGAAAGTATGATTTGAAATACTGACTTGCGTATTAAAGCATGGAGTTTGGACTATTTTAAATTACTGATCCACCTTGTTGTTCTGAAGGTTGGTGAAATGCAGTGGAGCAGGATGGCCTACAGCATGTTTTTAAGGGCTCATCTTACGTGAGCAATCTTTGAAACACAAATAGAAAGAATAAGCTAGTATATCTTCGTCTGTTTTGCTGTAACTTGAAATGTGGTAAGCTTATTTTTTCATTTCTTGTTTCCTTCAGGTTTTGAACGAAGAATGTGATCAGAATTGGTACAAGGCAGAACTCAATGGAAAAGATGGCTTCATTCCCAAGAACTATATAGAAATGAAGCCACATCCGTAAGTAGAGCTCTGGTGATAGTTCCTGTGAGTTTGGTGGATTTTAAGCATAATTCAACTTTTTCTGAAGACATTTAAACTGCTGATGGCATCTGGATCATGTTAGCTTTGTATGTCAGCAATGCCGGAGGTCTTTGTTAGTGCATTAACAACCTGGGGAGGTTATACAGAAGTTTACATAGTGTCATGTTTACTGAGCAGTAATGCAGATCTCTCTAAGTAGTCCAGCAGGGAATACAAAAACAAACTGCAGCCACATGTAAGAAAGAGAATGTTCCTTTTCTTAGGCTGGTATCAGTGTTGTGGGAAGGAGGTGAGTACTTTTCAAGAGAATTTAGAAGGAAAGTAACTGGAAATGCTTTTAAATGTTAGTCCTGTCCAAGGATCTGAGACTTAAATCCTCCAGCTCCATTTCTTGTATTAAACAGTGTTCATTTTTGCTTGTATTCTGTAAATCTTCCAATTTTCTTTTTAACTGCTAGCAGATGACACTGAAAGGGAAATGTAGCATATCATAGTCACCTGCTGAATCACCTGGATGTTATAGGGTTAATCCAAATCTCATGTTAATTAACAAAGAGAATGTGTAAGTATATATAGGTACTGATAATCAGTGGACAGCTATAGGAAACTCTGGGCAGGGAGGCTGCCTATGAAGGCTCAGCTGTGCCATTCAGGGGATAGGGCTACCTTTTTTCTTATAAGGGGGCAGGGCAAGAACTTCTGTTTATGAAATGGCCTGGATCAGGCTTGTGGTGTGTCCAAGTCTGTATTCTTAATCAACTGCTTATAAAGATATTGTTGAAATCTTACTCTGCAAAAATTGTAACTTATGTGGAAGAAAGAAGCCAAGCTAAAATGGTTGCGTTAAGTGAAGCTGAAAGAATTGTTGAGCTGCTGATTGAAAGGAGTCTGAATGTGGTACGAACTTTGCATTGTTCCAATTGACAGATCTCCCTCTTGCAGTGCAGTAACAGAAGTAATAGCTGCATTTGGTTTTGCAGTGCTAACTGGATGAGCTACATTACAAAGCTAGTTGGAGGTGAGTGTTAGAAAGGATTATCAAGTTTGGCCATTTAGAAAAGAAGCTCTCGGAATGTCAGTTTCTTGGATGTGCTATGTTTTTTATTTTCTGAACCATTCTGTAGCAAAGATCAACGTGTGCGGAACATTTCTGGTGCTTTGTGTTCATGTCTGTAATTGGGCAGTAGTTCTTCAAAATTACTTTCTTTGACCTGTGGAGTTTTCTTTCTCTAAATCTTTTTATGTTTAAAAATCAGTCTTTGCTGCTGTGTGAGTGACTGATGTTGCAATGAAGTCATAAAACTACAGTAGAGTTTTATGGGTTGTGGAAGATCTCTTAATCTTCCTACTTCAGCTAAGAAGCGTTGGAAGCAGTAGGCAGAAAATTTTATATTGTTGATTATGTTACTTTCATTCATCAAATAATAGTTATACTTGATAACAATCCAGCACAATTGAGGGGAAAACTAGTGTGTGTTTTTGAGGCTTCAAGAGGATTAATAGAAGTTCTGTTGAGTTCTTTCAGATTTTATTTCTATTTTACAGAGATGAGTGAGGTTTTGGGTTGTTTTTTTTTTTTAAGCTGAGGCTTTCATTTACAAGTAGTATGTGAGTAACTGATAGTTATTTGAGAACAGAATTAAAACACTTTGTAAACAAACTGTGGCAGGATATCTAAAATCATAAGATAAAGTTTGCTTTATGTAACATTTGGCAAAGGTGAAATTCAGGGCTTTCTTGTCTTGACAACTGTGCCAAAATCCTGGAAAACAAAATACTACATTGGAACTCTGAAAGACCTTCACGTAATGATTTCTCTTGGGTAATTTTGGAGGCAGTACAGTGCAGTAAGACAGGTAATGTTCCTCTGCTGGCTCTGCCATAATCTCGGTTACCAAGAGCCTTATCGAATACTGCAGTCTTTTTCTAGCTTTAGAGATTGTTGTTATTTTGAGAGGGAGACTGTGGTTTCATAAAAGCTTTAACTTCTCTTAAGAAAGAAGCTTCAAAACTATCACAGAAACAGAGACCATTTTTTTGCTGTACCAAAACCTACTCTGTGAGAAGCAGTACCTGGTGTAGGGAACCTGCTTTGGCAGGGAGGGTGGACTCGATCTCTGGAGGTCCCTTCCAGTCCCTACAATTCTGTGATTCTGTGAAACCTTTTAAGTGGAGCTGTTTAGTACTACTCTCTGACTTCAATCATCTGTGTGGTTAAAGGCTGTGGTAAGTGCATCTCTCCTGTGTGATCATTACTCAGAACTGAAAGTTATGCTTTTTGGTTCTGAAGATAGTTCTGTTTTTCCCACATCATGTGACCTACTGCTCAGCCCTTGTTTGCCTTTAAGCTTGGGTTAGTCTGGAAACACAAATGTAAATTGGGATGAGAATCCTGTGACCACAGGATGTTAGTGGGCACTAATGATTTAGTTGCCTGATGCAGGTTCACTCTTGGTGCTGCACAGGTGATCAGCCTATGGCTGACTTATGTGCAGCTGTCAAGTTCTGATTTGACTTCCATGCTGCAGCTATTTCATATGACTGTTTATGTGAAAGTTGTCAGATTGTCCTGACAGAAGGAGAAGACAAAAAAAAATAGACTACTAGTTTTTTCAGCATCTTTTTTAGAGCTCAATTACACACCCAACTCAACAGTCATCTTATAATGAAACAGAGACCTTGAGGGAACTTTCCTCACTTGTTCTCAATCTTGTTTCTACAACTTGATGTGTCTGAATAAACCTGAAGGTGAACTCCCGGTGTTTCCCTTCTGTTTTGCAAAAGCTGAAGTTCTTTTTTTTTTTTTTTTTTTTTTTTAAGGTTTCAGTGTGACAGAACTGACTGTACCGCATCCCTGGGCAGCCCATTCCAGCACCTGACCACTCTCCTGGAGAAGAAGTATTTCCTAATGTCAAATCTGAATCTCCCCTGGTGCAACTTGAGACTGTTGTCTCTTGTCCTATTGATAGTTACATGTAAGAAGAGACCCCACTCCCACTTCACCACAACTTCCCTTTAAGTAGTTGTAGAGAGCAGTAACCTCACTGCTGATTGTGTTCTCCAAACTAGTCCCAGCTCTCTCAACTGTTCCTCATAAGGCCTGCAGTCCACACCCCTCACCAGCTTTGTTGCCCTTCTCTGGATGTGTTCCAGGTCCTCGATGTCTTTAACGCAGTGGTAGGTCCAAAACTGAGTTCAGTACTCAAGGTGCAGCCACACCAGTGATGATCACTTTCCTGCTACTGCTGGCTGTGCTACTCTGATAAAAAAAGCAAGGATGCCATTGGCCTTCTTGGCCACCTGGGCACCATGATTGCTCTTATTCGTTGACCAGATACCCCCAGGTCTGTTTCCTCTGCATGGTCTTCCAGCTACTCTGCCCTGAGCCTGTAGCATTGCCTGGTTGTGGCCAAAGTGTAGGACTCGGTGCGTGATCTTGTTGAACTTTGTCTCATTGGCCTCAGCCCAGTTATCCAGTCTGTCCAGATCACTCTGTAGGACCTTCTTATCCCTAGGCAGATGAACACTTCCTGCCAACTCGGTGTCATCTGCAATGACTAAGGCACGAGTGGCTTCTCCTTAGGAGGCCTAAGTAATAAAGGAGTGTGTGTAATTTCTCCCCAGTGATTATTTTTGAGCAATAATAGTGAAACAAATGCTTTTGTATCATACTCTTCCCTCCTGTAACTAGTGATAGGATTAGAGAGAATGGCCTCAAGTTGTGCCAGGGGAGATTCAGGCTGGATGTTAGGAAATACTGCTTTTCTGGAAAAAGTGGTTAGATGCTGGAACAGGCTGTCCAGGGAGGTGGTGCAGTCACTGACCCTGGGGGTGTTCAAGGAGTGTTTGGATGTTGTGCTGAGGGCCATAGTTTAGTGAGAGCTATTGGCGATAAGTGGATGGCTGGACCTGAGTGATTGTGTAGGTTTCTTTCAACCTTGGTGATTCTGTGATTCTATGGAGAAGTAAAGTACTGACTAGCCCCAAATGCATGGGCTTTTTCATATCTAAATTGATGGTCAATGATGGTCAATTGATGGTCAAGTCATGGTAGCTTCGTTGCTAGGACAAAATGTGAAAAGCTACATAGTTTGGTAGCCTGTAGTAGATTTACAATGAAATACATCCAGTTCAGTCATTTCTGCTAGGAATCATTTCACCTCAGCGTGTTTACCTGTGTTGGGCTCTTCCATAAGACAGTTCAACTTCTTAACTTTCTCTGTTGTTTCCTTTTCCTTGCTTACTCCACAGGTGGTTTTTTGGAAAAATTCCCCGGGCAAAGGCTGAAGAGATGCTAGGCAAACAGAGACATGATGGTGCCTTCCTTATCAGGGAGAGTGAGAGTGCTCCTGGGGACTTCTCTCTCTCGGTCAAGTAAGTAGTGCCCTGAAACAATTGTGTGGAAATCACTTGACGCTCATCTTGACTCCTGGATAAGTGATCATTGATACTGAGGAGCAGCAATAATCCAGATAGCATACCTATTCTTCCAGTGATATGTGGTTTTTGTCCTTATTAAAGAGGAAGTACAAATATACACTGTTCTGTAATGAGCCTACATGGCTGAGTTGGTGGTGTGTTGCTGTCTGACTTAGGTGTTTTCAGACACTATTTGTTAATTTGTGGATCCTGTTCCTCCTCATTTCAACTATGACCTGCCTAAAATGTGCATGTTCCTCTTCCATGGCATAAGTCATTACTCTTTCCTCTATCTTTGGGTAGTACACTTTCAAATATTTTTCATGACTGCTTGACTCATCCTTTGGGCATATTTGTGTTACCCAGTACTGGGACGTGGAGCTATGAAAACAAATTATTTTCCATTTCTCTCAAATGCGTTCTCTTAACAGGGAATTTCAGTCTAGTAACAGTGAAGTAGAGAGGAACAGTTCTCATCCTTGCATAACCTTTCTAGAAGTGCTGGCTGTTAATCAGCATCAATTCCTGGTAGTTAGCATGTGAGTCTTGTCTAACTATCTCACAGCTCAGTATAAGCCACTATAAATAGAGGTATTAGAAACTTGGAAGACTATGGGATGTAAGGTAGCATAGGAGGGAAGGAATTCCGTCCTCAGCAGCTGATTTTTTTGTCCTTCTTAACTTTCTATAGCTTTCTCCTTTCCTTCCAGAAATGAACAGGATTTTCTTTAGAATCTAATATTGATTATTCATGCACAGTTCCGTGTTTGCTGTATTTTTGGCTCATCTTTGGTCTGTACCAAGATTTTGTCATCCTGTACAGCAGCCTTAATTAATGCCAACAAAATTGAATTAAAACTACTCATTTTAGAGAGGTGTTTATACTTCAGCTGGGTACAATAATCTGAGCTGGAATATGAGATACGTAAGGGAGCTCCATTGCAGGAACTGCTTTCCTTCATGAAACTTAAGGTTTTTAAATGTAGCCCTGCCTGCTTTGTTAGCTTAGTGTTGCCACCTGGTGGTAGTATGTTGCTTTTCTCTGGTGGATTAATTTGGAAAAAGCATTCTTCCACTCACCCCTGAGCAGTTTTTTTGTTTGTTTTTTTTTTTTATTTGAGATGATGACAGTCTCTCAGGTTGAAGAGGAGACAGCAAAGGCAGTACTCATTGACTGTTTCATGTTAGCTTTGTAGCCTGTTAACTGTGTAGCCTGTAGACTGTGTCTGCACTCTAAATTGAGGTGTGGAAGCTCTTGATGCCAAGTGGGGAATGCACTCCCTGCCAGTTTTCAGTGTTTTTGTTTCAGACTAAAGTAAAAATTCTAATATGCTGTTCATCTGGAAAATCCTCATAGCCCTCTTTGGAGTTGCACTTTATGTAGAATAAAATAGTTGAAAAAGTAACTTCAATTGAATGCAATCACTTGTCAGACAAATAGAAGTGGAGAAATCTGTCTGTTTTGCAAGGCATCCTTTTTTGTAAGTCATGAGTCCAAGCTTTGAGACAATCCTGCCCCACTTGTGGCATTTCTTTTCCCAGCACTTTCCCACTGTTGGGACTGGTACCTTTGTATTGAAATGGTACCGTGTGAGTGAGAGATGGGGATTATGCAAAGTACAGGTCCATAGTAAGAGTAGTGTGAACCTAAGCTGGCTTGTTTCCTGTGTTTGAAAAGCTGAACTGAAGCATGTGTAGCGTGGGTGGGCACTGTGGTGTGCCTACCTTACTGTGACCTCACACCTCACATGTAGTCCATGGCCTTTGAGTATTCAGTGCATAGGGTTCAGCAACTCTGACTGCATACATGAATCAAGAAGTGCCTGTGTTTTAACACTGGCAGTGTAGTGATACACTGATGCAGTTGTCACTGTGCACATAGCCTTGGAGTGTTGTAACACCAGAAATCCTTCACTAAACCACCTCAAATTTGTGCAGCTTCAGAGCAGTTTGAAAAGCTGGTTTTAAACTGAAGCTCTACTATTAAGAAGAGTGCATGTGAAGCTTGCAGAATTTTTTTCAAAATAAATTCAGTATTTGAATTCTGTCTCTGATTTCTGTAATATACAATTGCCAGACAGTTTTCAAATATCATCTTCACAGCAACCAGTTGATACCCGCATTGTCATTGTCACCAACTATGTCCTGAATAATCTTTTTGTTGTAAAGTCTCAGCTCTAGAAGAGTGCTCGGTGACTGTTCTTTTCTGCATTGTTTGCTCTTTTCTCCCAGGTTTGGAAATGATGTGCAGCACTTCAAGGTGCTTAGAGATGGGGCTGGCAAGTATTTCCTCTGGGTGGTGAAGTTCAATTCTTTGAATGAGCTGGTAGATTATCACAGATCCACGTCTGTCTCCAGGAACCAGCAAATATTTCTACGGGATATTGAACAGGTGCCACAGGTAAGAGAACCATTTCTTCAGAGCATATTTAAACTATTGCAATCACAGTTTGAATTGGGATTGCATCTTAGGTTATATGAATGGGGATGGAGAAAAACTGACTTTTTTGCCTGTGGGAGTTTATTTTTGGATCTTGCTGCCAGTATACTGGAAAATAATCAGGATGTTTGTGCACAGTCTACCTGCTAAAACTCCTAGAATTCATTTCTGGCGGTGTTGTTGCTTGAATAGTTGGCTTGTGTTAATGTTTATGGGCACTGTTGAAGTAAGATAATCCAATTCCTGTGAGTTACGAACGTGTTTACTTCTGGTTTAGGATACAGTAAAAAAGCACGGTTTTGTACTGGTTGGGAGCTAGAACTGTACTCCTCAATAGCAGTGAAATTTTAGTAGTGGTCTTGCCTGAAGAAGTGGCTACAGGTAGTAGCATATGTTTTAAACTTGGCAAATGTAAAAAGGAACTGAAAAACTACTGCTAAGTGTCAGGTTGTGTCTGTCTTTTTGTTTCGTTTCCCAGGACATACAAAATGTTAGGTTGGATATAACTGCTTCTGTATGCAGTATTCTAGTTCCATCTTGAAGAGATGTGGAAACTTGTACTGCTCTTTGGATGCTGTCAGCCTTTGCCACAGTTCATCTGAATTAACATATGACTCTGTGCTGTTTAGTTAATGGTAAACAGAGAATGGGAAAAGAGCTGTTTGAAAACAGCAAGCAGCATGAAGATGCCTTTCTAGACTCCATGTTTTAAGAATGCAAATGCCTTTTTAAATGAACGTGTAACTTCTCTGTAGGAATAGAAGCATTTGGTGACAAAACACACACACTCTATAGCAAAACTTTCTAATACTGGAGCAGCTTAAAGGAAACGTACAGAACACCAACATCTAATTCTGCAGAGGAATTTTGTGTATTACAGTGGCTAGGTAGATCAGTAATACTAATGTTGTCATTTGATGTAGCAGGGCAAATGAGCAAAAAGACCATCATAATTCAGTGGAGTATGGAGTTTGTAGTAAGTTTTGGACACTGGAAGATAAATACTAGAACATCTGTGACATCTGGTTTCATTTTGCACTTTCACAGAAACCTGTTGTCTTAGTTTCAACTGAGACAGAGTTGTTTTACTTCACAGTATCTAGTAGGGTTCTGTGTGTTTCTGTTTTTTTTTTTCCCCTGAAAACAAAAACAATGTTAATAACACACCAGTGTTTCCAGTTGTTGCTGAGCAGTGCTGTACAGAGCCAAGGACACTTCAGTTTTCTTGGTTTCTCCTACTGTCCTACCAATAAGGGGATGCACAGAGAACTTGGAGGCATAGGGAGTCCGAGGAAATGAGAGGGGACAGAACCAGGACAGCTGACTTAAACTGGCCAAAGGGGTATTCTGTACCATATGATATCATGTGGAAGAAAAGTTTTTAAAGGGGTGGGCGTTCATCTCTTTCTTTTTCTGCTTGGGATCCTCCAGGCAGAGAAGATATAGATTGGCAGGTGGTGAGCAACTGCTTGTGCATCACTTGTTATGCATTCACATATACATAGTCATCAACTATTATTCTTCTTCCTTTTTCTGTCTTACTAAACAGTTTTATCTCAACCAATGAGTTCTACTGTTTTTTTTTCTTGATGCTCTCCCCCACCCCACTGGGAAGAGGAGGAGTAAGCAAATGAGTGTGTGATGCTTAGCCATCTGCTGGGTTAAACCATAACTTCTGGTTTTTGCTTTTTTCTTTCCCTTCTGTAGACTATACTTTTTAATTGTCTTGCTACAGATGATAAAGGTTGGATTTAAGGGAAATGAAACAGCCCAAATGTTCACTACTAAAATCTAGTATAAGTTAAAATCTTGCTTGAGGAAGCAGATGTCTTGAGTGCTGAGGATGATTCTCATTCCACACATCTTTATTTTTTTATTTTCAGCAACCAACGTACGTTCAAGCTCTGTTTGATTTTGATCCCCAGGAGGAAGGAGAGTTGGGTTTCCGCCGCGGAGACTTTATCCAAGTCCTTGACAATTCTGACCCCAACTGGTGGAAGGGAGCCTGCCACGGACAGACGGGCATGTTTCCACGCAACTATGTGACCCCAGTGAACCGGAACATCTAGAGATAAATATTACAGATTATTTAAAGAAACAAGAGAAACAGTAATTACATACAGAGCCTAACTGCAGCCAGTGACCTAAAATCACACGGCGATAAAACCTGAGTCATCTTTCACCGTGAGGTGATCCTCCTTCACAGTGTGGAACTTCAGGGGCTGAAGGGGTTGGGGGGGAGGGAAGAGTTCAACTTACACACCAAAACTTATCAAAAAAGAGAAGAAAAAAAAAACAACAAATAATGAATTTTCAGCTGCTCCTGGGTTACTCCCTTTCATTTACTTAATGTTTCCCCTTGTCCTCTGTCCAGGCATGAAGTTTTAATGCCATTTAAAATTGTAGCCATGCAGTTAAAGGAAAAGGGAGAAACTCTGCTGGTATTTTCTCTCTGCAAATGGTTTATTTGTCATGAAGGGACATGAGAGGAAAACCAAATACACAGTCCTGCCTTTAAAAAAAAAAAAATAATAATTTAAAAAGTCTCTGCTCTTGCCTTCAGCATTCAGCTGCTCTTGCCTGAGAAAGATGAGGTATTGCTCTAATTTTTGTCTCTTCTCCTTTGTCACTTTCTTCTGAAGCTCAGCAGCTTCCAGGCTGAGGAAGGGAGAAGAGTTGTGGATTTCTTTTTTTGAGTCACAGAGTTACTTTCAGAAACTCCAAACTACAACCGAAGTTTGTTATTGCTGTGCTGATAGTCTTTTTGTTTCTTTTCTTAACTGTGTACGGTTGAGCACATTCTGTAATTTTTTCCATAGTGCCTTTCCCTTGGTTGTTTTTTTTTTATTATTATTTTTTAAGTTAAAAGGACAGTCCAGAGCTTTTCAGAGGGCCTTTTTTTCCTGCCTATGTGTAAATAAATACTTCTGGATGGAAGATGTAAAGGAAGGGTGGCTTTGTCAATGGATACCTGAAAAAAATCTACAGATGGAGCTTTGTTCTAAAGATTTAACTTGTTCTTTGACTTTCCTTTTTACAGGGGGGGGAAAAAAAAAGGCATTCCTTGGCAGCTTGGGCTGCTCAAACATGGGAAGCTGAAACCAGAAGCCTCAAAAGATTTAAGAGAAAGGGGAAAGATATGACCAGGGAAAATGAGGAAGAATATTTGGGGGAGGGAAGGTTAAGTGGGGAATTTGAGAAAGAGTAGCCCTGAGATGTCCTACAAAATGTACATTCCGCTGATGGAAAACTATAATGCAGAAAAACCTCCAAGAAACAGTGCTTGAAAACATTTTATGCTATTAGTGAATGTTTCTATGTGATGCATGTAATCAGCCTGTCTCTTTTGCCTGGATAAGGGAGTTATTTGCAGTTGTGTTGCTCTTGAAAAGTGGGGTTGGCATCACTGTTCTCCAGTTTCTCCTCCCTCTTCAGGTCAGTGTTACTGTTAGACTCCCCATTCACAGCAAGCTGTGTGATGACTATAATTCCCACCTTTTCCGATAATGGCCTTCATTGTGGCCATTTGCTCTTTCACCAGAGCAGTGTGACATTGAATTGGATAGAAAGAAATCAAACTGCATTACTCCCTGTGCCAATCTTCAGTTGTGTTATTTTTCCTTTTGAGAGCTACTTGGCTGGATCCCTTCACTCCAACAACGAATCCAGAAGCTGCAGTGGAGAGCTTCTCCTGTCTTGCCTAAGTACAGGCAGTCGTTTGTTGGAGGGTGCCTTTTTTGTACTAAATGTTATGTTTTATTTCTGAGACAAACTCTGCCTTACACTTTAATTTTCCAGCAGATTAAAGAGAGAGCTATCCTGTAGAGCATTACTTTCTCCCCCTCTCTTTGCTAGCTGTCACTCACTTTCTTCCTTCTTCATAAAGTGATTGGAAGAAGAATCTATGGCATTCTATACCTGGACCATTTGATTGTTTCCTTATTTTGGAATTGGTGTATATCATGCAACCTTGCAGACATATGTCTTGTGTGTGTATATATATTAAAAAAAAAAATCAGTGTTTAAATAAAAAAAGGCCTATGTACTTAATCCTTTAACTCTGCAGCAGCATTTGGTAGATAGTAATTAACTGTGAATAATAAATATACATTGAATTCTTCACTTGGGCATTTGTCTGTTATTTCATCTGACCAGAATATAGCTGATAAAGCTAATCTGTAAGTGCTCAGACTTACTGGCATCATGATTGGTTCTCAGCATGCCTACCTAAATTCACTGCTCTTTTGGTCTAAGCCAGCCACAATCCATGTAACTTACACTATTGCAAATAGTAAAGAAAGGGGAAAAGAATTTATTGGTTCACTGTCCAGTAGGAAAGCAGTGAATCTCTTAGCAGAATTTGGAGTGGCACTTAAATACTTCTTCCTTTTTTTTTTTTAAAGCTCTTCCTAACCTGTGGAGCATCCCTGTGGTGCTGACCAATGTAGTAAGGAGGCAGTAAAGAAGAGTGATATGCTAGTTATTTCTGGAGCATCTCGCTGAAGGACAGAGGGAAGGACAAGCTTCTGTAAGAATAGCGGCTTCAGCTCAGACTGCCACGTGAAGGTTTGCTCTGCTTGGTCAGTGCCTTACAGGTCACTTGTTTTCTTGTTGCATAAAGCAATGGAAGTGACGGTTCTAATGAGGTGCTCAGTGTTACCTTTCAGCAGCTGCTACTCTGAATCTGCATCTCCTCCCAGCCTTATGTCCAGACTGTGCCTCTCGGCTAGGCACTGGGTTTTAAAATACGAAAGGAGAACATCTGCTGATTAAACTGTGTTGTAACAATTCCTCTTACTGATGCTCAAATGCAGACGTAGTCAAGATGTACCAATGACTCCATTATTTTCCTATTTGTACCACTAAAGTCAATTTTTAAATAAATGCGTAGTAGGGGTTGTACCTTTGGCACTTCTATTTTACAATGCTGAAGCTGGATCCATGGCTCCGAACTGTTATTCATATTTTGGGCCTCTAGTGAAAAGTTGAGCAAAGCTTGCTTTCCTTCTGATCTAAGGAGGAAAGAAGAATGTTTGTTGCTGCTGTGACGGCACATAGGGAAGAGTTATTTTCCACCTTGGCTGCCCCAGATGCCAAAAACGCTGTAAGTACAAAAACCCACTGTCCCGGCTACCTTTTCGCGGCCCCTACGCTGTTGCTGTTCTCGTGCTGCCTGCTCTGCGCAGCCGTTGCTCTCGTTCGAGAAGCGCAGCGGTACGTGGGGGCGGCCGGGCCGCCGCTCCTCTCCGAGTTGCTGGGGGCCTTGCGGGACTACAACTACCAGCGTGCCCCGCGGCGCGCAGGCGCAGTACGGCGGCCTGCAGGCGGCTAACGCCGGCCTGGGCCCGGCGCAGCTGCGGCCGACGGCTGCGCTCGGATCTGCGTCCCGCGCTGCTCCGGCTTACGATACGGGGCCCGTGGAGCGAGGAGAGGCTGTTTTGGGACGAGGGGGTGTCTGCTGGGGCCCCCGGCCTGAAGAAGGGGTGGGAAGGTGGTGAGGATGTGGGGCTCTTGGCCCTTGGCGTGAGGTGCGGTTTTGGTGTAGGGGGTTTGGGGCCGCAAAGCCCCAGCGCGGGAAAGCGGAGCTCCTACTGACACTGCAGTGACAGCAGGCAGGCATGGTCGGCTATGACCCAGAGGCAAAGTGCGTCTCCACGGTGGAAGCAGCTGCAGCAGGATCAGCATCGGGCTTCGTCACTCGGGTCCTGATCAGCCCTTTGGACGTCATCAAGATCCGCTTTCAGGTACCTGACTTGCTGAGGGACGCGTCTGTCACAGAGCAGAGCTCGCTGTCCTGTGTGACCAAGGTCACCTCAGCCAGGGCAAGATGAATCTGTCTTTGTGGATGCTGCACGTGATTCGAGGCAGTAGGACTGAGCTGAGGCCAGCACTTCTCTTTGTGTAACCTATATGCTTGAATGGCATCTTGTGTTTTTCACAGTTTGTTCTCTTTTCCTCATCTTCTAAACAATCTCGCTTAATGAATTTCTCTATCGTCCTTATTGGCTACTTTAATGTGGTATGCATGTTTCTTGTTCTTCAAAGTCCTGTATAGAAAGTATCCCACTTGGTTCTACATGCGATTTTGAGGGAACACAGAATGTCTTCACTCAGCTTTGGTTGGCCATTGGGGTTGTGAATTTCTGCGTGGGACACTTGAACCTTGTTGAATCGTGATGTGGAATTGAAAATATTTTCTGTTTTCCTCCAGCTTCAAATTGAGCGGCTCTCCTTCAAAACTCCAGGGGCTAAATATCATGGCATCTTGCAGGCTGCACGGCGTATATTCCAGGAGGAGGGGATATTAGCCTTCTGGAAGGGTCACATTCCTGCACAGCTCCTTTCAGTTGGCTATGGAGCAGTTCAGGTAAGATGATACTAGATGGGCCCGGTGTTTGTATGGACATTTTTTCTCTTCAGACTGATAGAATGAGCTGATGCAGAAAGGTCCAGCTTAATAGGACTGATTCAAGACAACTCCAGTCTCAAATATGCGTAGTTAAATAATGTTGGTGTCTTGTTCCTAAGTTAATACTTCCGAGCTTCCTGAACACAGCTTAATTCTGCTTGGCCAGTGTGGAGCAAAGCAAAAGCAATCTCAGTTCACTGAGTACCCTGGTGTCACAGACAAGCCCTGCTTGTTCCTGACACTTCTCGTAACTGTTTTTATGAGCCAAGCATGTGTAGTTCTTTGCTTTGATTCACATTTTCCTAGCAAGCTGTAAGGGCAGTGAAGTCAGTGAGGCTGATGACAGCATTTTGCACAGTGTTGTTATGCTTAATTTATAAGTATTAGCAGCGTGTTTTATGATCTCTGGTTGAAAAAGTAATGAGCAGCATGTATGTAATATAGTAAACAATTTTCATTATATAGAGAGAGCTTTAAAATACGTTTTTTGCAGTTCTAAATGTAAGATGTACAGGAAATATCAGAGATCACAATACCCCAAGCATTCTTCAGGCTGCTCAGTGACTTTTACAAGGCATTCTTTGAGCACATGCTCCAGTAGGTTGCAAATTGAAGAACTTTTGAAGGATAGAGAGAGGAGGTGGTTGTAAGCTGTGGGTGGAGCTCTTAGTAAAATGAAAGAGTGGGAGATCTGCATCAGTGATAAGAAATGACTCCTTGACCTCTGCATGTTTGTTTCTGCAAGTTCATGGCATTTGAAAGCTTGACCAAACTGGTGCACAACATCACCTCATACAATGCCCGCAATTCCTTTGTGCACTTCATCTGTGGTGGACTATCAGCTTGCACAGCCACTGTTGCAGTTCAGCCTGTTGACACACTACGTACGCGTTTTGCTGCTCAGGGGGAGCCTAAGGTATGGTTAAGGATTTGATGTTTGGAATTACAAGCCATAACAGCAGCAATATTTCATTTCTGAGAATACAGGAAGTTTGAAACAGTCTGTGCTAACAGTGGGTCAGCATAAAGGAGAAGTTGCTCTTAGTTTGTGTTGCATGCAGGTTATCCTCCATACTGTTGATATAGCTTCTTTAATTGTGTTTTGCTGATCCTGTTTTTGTTTGACTTCTGACAGGTGATGCAGAAAGGTAAAGTTGTCCTTACAAAGATAACTCAATTTTCATTTTGGCTGTTGGCCAGTTGGAGAAAATAATCCTTAGTCTGTGGTGCTTCACATGTTTGACTTTAGATTTACATGCAGTGAAGTTTAAGTCATGATGAGGATGATAATTGATGCCTTTTACCTGTGTTTCTTAATCTTACTTATGCAACAGTTGGTCTCCATGCTGATTAGGTCTGTAATAATTAGACACACATGAATTTGTATTGGAACCGTTTCTGGTTTTTGTTTTAGCTTGCAGTAGAATCACAGTATGTATTGTCTGAATTCTGTTTCAGGAGCAAGCTGAGCTGTTAAATAGCAAATTAAATAATTACATCAATGCTTCAAGTGGTCTCAATCCACAGCTCAGCCTTGTGCCTCATTTGTTTCCCTCAGAAGCATGGCTTAGATGTGGGATTCATTGTCAGCCCAGGCTCTAGTGCAGACCTAACAATCTGTTCGTTCAAATAGT